CGGGGCTGGACTTCCTCCTCCGGTCTGGCTGGGCGCCTGGCATCTTCCTCCTCCGGTCTCCAAGGGCTTTCTCACTCATTTAAAATATCACCTGAACAAAAAACAGTGGTGCATTCCTATAATCCCAGCTACTTGGGAGGCTGAGGCAGGTTTGTGGGTTCAAGCCTAACCTAGACAACATAGCAAGACCCCTTTCAAAAACCAAACAACAAAAAAAGTATATTGCAGCTTGATACCCTCAGGCAGTGAGGTTTCCCTTTTTTGGAGGGATTTACATAATGGAAGGGGCTTCTAAAATACAGACTACCAGTGCAGAATGGGTGCTCTGTCTCCATATGGGGAGTCTGGCTGATAATCTGAGCACTTTTAAAGATAGATACATTGTTCAATAACATTTTTTGGCATCTCCTTTTAAATTTTTTAAATTTTTGAGTTTTAAAAAGTTATTTGCTTAATAAAAAAGAATATTCTTTTTATTTTGAGCTCTCTTATTTTTTTTGCATTACAATTCTTAATATATCTTTATACCACAATTTATCATATCTCTGTTTGTATATAAGATATGTTGACACCAAATTCCCATCTTCATACATGTATTTTGTATAATGATGACTGTCTCCTTCCACCATCCTTACTATTCCCCTTCTCCCTCCCTTTTCTTCCCACCCCTATTCCCTATCTAGAGGTAATCTTCCTCCCCTGTTCTCCCTCCCTACCCCACTTTGAGTCACCCACCTTATATCAGAGAAGACATTCTGCATTTGTTTTTTGGGGATTGACTAACTTCCCTTAGCATCATCTTCTCTAATGCCGTCCATTTCCCTGCAAATGCCATGATCTTATTCTTTTTTTAGTGCTGAGTAATATCCCATTGTGATAAACGCCACATTTTTTTATCCATTCATCCACTGAAGGACATCTAAGTTGGCTCCACAGTTTAGCTATTGTGAATTGTGCTGCTATAAACATTGATGTGGCTGTGTCCCTATAGTATGCTGTTTTTAGGTCCTTTGGGTATAGTCCAAGAAGAGGAATAGCTGGGTCAAATGGTGGTTCCATTCCCAGTTTTCCAAGGAATCTCCATACTGCTTTCCAAATTGGCTGCACTAATTTGCAGTCCCACCAGCAGTGTATATGAGCGCACCTTTTTCTCCTGCCTCCTCACCAACACTTGTTGTTTGTCTTCATAATAGCTGCCATTCTTACTGAGGTAAGATGGTATTTTAGAGTAATTTTGATTTGCATTTCTCTGATTGCTAGAGATGCTGAGCATTTTTTCATATATTTGTTGATTGATTGTATACCCTCTTCTGAAAAGTGTCTGTTCAGGTCCTTGGCCCATTTATTGATTGGATTATTTGGGGTTTTTGATGCTTGTTGAGCTCTTTATATATCCTAGAGATTAGAACTCTATCTGATGTGTAAGGGGTAAAAATTTTTTTCCAGGATGGAGGCTCCCTGTTCACCTCACAGATTATTTCTTTTTCTTTTTAGTTTGAATCCATCCCATTTGTTGATTCTTGGTTTTAATTCTTGTGCTATAGGAGTCTCATTAAGGAAGTTGGAGCCTAGCCCTATGTGATGAAGATTAGGGCCTACTTTTTCTTCTATTAGACGCAGAGTCTCTGATTTTAAAAAGTAGAATATTCTTAGCTCTTCTTTGAAAAAACCTTCACCCTAGTAACTTAATCTATATAACTACCATTGTATAATTTTAATTCTTAAGGATACCACTGAGGGGCTGGGGTTGTGGCTTAGTGGTAGAGTGCTCGCCTAGCACTCGTGAGGCACTGGGTTCGATCCTCAATACCACATAAAAATAAATAAAGTAAAAACTGCATTGACAACTAAAAAATATTTTTTAAAAATTTAAAAATAAAAAAGAATACCGGGCTGAGGATGTGGCTCAAGCGGTAGCACACTTGCCTGGCATGTGTGCGGCCCAGGTTCGATTCTCAGCACCACATACAAAGATGTTGTGTCCGCCAAGAACTAAAAAAAAATAAATATTAAAAAAATAAAAAAGATCCCTGGAGATTCCTTATAAAAAAAAAAAAAAAGAATACCAATGAGCAGGCCCTTGTCCCCAGACAGAAACATTGCTGTCTTGCAGTTTAAGGATGTTTTCTTCTCAGAGTGACCCATAGGAGAGCAGTGACAAGGATGCACTGAAGGAACACACAGAAAGGAGCCCCAAGTGGCAGATGCTGGCAGAGCACCACAGGACCTTCTCGGTGGTTACCTAAAATGCATATGCCAGTACCACATTACTTCAAACGCATGTTTTCTTAAGTTTTGTCTTCCTATTTCCTGTAAGGAAATGAATTTCTATTTAGGAAATAACCCCAGATAAGAAAATATTTTACTTGAACTTGTAGACCAGTATGCAAATTCAAAGAAATAAAAGGTCAAATACACTGGCAAGTTTTGTGATAATTTAAAATGAAGAAAGCCAAATTGGCGGGAGGTGTAGGGGGGTCTTTTCTACTAAAAATATACTACCCCCTGGGGATCAGGGATTTCATGCTTTTGGGTTCTGAACTATTACAGCTATTACATTTTAAAATGGAAGCATTCAGTCCAACCAATCTTTATTGAAAATAATCAACTGGATTATGTAAGAAAACAAAAATTGAATAATAATTGATTCCCTTCCATGTGTTTTTTTCCTTCTGTGGGAAGAAATAAGATGTATATACAAGTTGTGATCATATAAGTTAAACTATAAAATTAAGGGGGTATTGAATAATAAGTGATTCCCTTCCATGTGTTTTTTTTCCTTCTGTGGGAAGAAATAAGATGTATATACAAGTTGTGATCATATAAGTTAAACTATAAAATTAAGGGGGTAGAAAGTAGTTCTTTGCAGGAGACAGAAGAATGTACCTCAAAAGAAGTCGAGATGAGAAAAAAAAACAGAGATTGAATTGTATCTTGTAGAGATAGGCAAGGCAATTAAAAGAGCCTGCATAAACATACATCACAAGGACATTCAAGGCACTTAAGAAATTATGAGCATCCTCTTCAGTTTTGTTACAGCCTTTTAAAGCTCTGGAGAAGATGCAAATCACTATAAAGAAGAGAATAAAAATTACCCAAAATTCTGTTGTTCAAAGACAGATTTTATGATTACAATGTTTCTTCTACTCATCTTCGTTTGAATTTGATTGAAGTACACATTCTCAATACTGGTTTAACTGTGCTTGGCTTCTGGAGAGATGTAACTGACATTATAAAATGTGTTCAGTTCACATTATCATCAACTGATGAATGTCCATGTTCTTTTGATAATTCACTGCAGCAAACCTCTGTTGAGCCTGTGTAAATCAGGCCATGTACTTCTGGATGCCTGACACTGACTTGAATTCAGGACTGAATCCAATGAAGGATGTGTGGCTCCTAGAGGAAGATCACCCCAGATTTATTCCTGTTCATAAGCCAACAAGTAGCTGCAGAAACTGTACATTTTTCTGCAGCATAGTAAATAATTCTTGACTTAATACTTTTTGCCCCAAAATGGAAATGTTTTCATTCCCAAATTTAATGATTATTTTAAAATTCAAATGATACAGATAAGAATAAAGTAAAAATTACCTGGGAAAAAGTACTGTCCAAATATATCATTTTAGCAAATATATTCTTAGCCTTTTTTTTGAATAGTAATGGTTTTTTTTTCTTACTCAAAAAGTTATGAGCATCTTTCTATATCTATAAATAAAGTACAATCAGTACTTTACATTTTGATACAAATTACTAAAATGCTCTGCTCCTGCAGTTAGGCCATTGATGGGTATCAAGTTACGTGGGAGCAAATTTCATTGAAGTGAAATAGGTGGAAGATCTAAATCATGAACTTTTAAGAAGCAAACACACTTGAAATGCAACATCCAGATCAAGAAACAGAACATTCCCAGCACCTAAGAAGCCGCCCTCATGCCTCCTTCAGTCACTGCTTTCCTAAAGATAGCCGCTATTTCATTACCTAATTTGTAATCTTCACTCATCTGATTTTTAAAATATATACACACACACACACACACACTTTGTGTTTCTGATTACTTTTCTAAGGTTACTACTTAATTTATAAAATTCACTGTAGGGCCCTGCCTTTGGAAGTTTGATCTCCATAAGAGAAATAAGTGACAACCATTTATGTTTGAGAAATGCACAATGACTTGCCACGGTTGGAAAAAAGCAAAGATTCTAAAGTATAACCTTTGTGATATATTATTTTCTCAGTAAATACTTAGGTTCCTTTGGAACCGGCACTGAGATGCAAAAAAATAAATAGCACGTGTTTTTCTTTGAAATGACAAATTTGCAAAAAGACTAGTACGCTTTGGGTTCCGAAAGGATGTTCTCTTTTATAAACAGGAGTAAAGATGTGTGGCTAGAAGCTGCCCTCTACTGGATGCTGCTGGTATGATTTGGGGAAAAGAACTCTCCAGTTTGCCCTGGAGGCTGCCAGCTTTTAAGTCTCTTAAAGCCTACCTGCCTCTAGCTTTTCCTTGCAACTTTTCTTTTTCCTTATGCTCTCTCTCTGCAGTGATAGCAAATTTGGCTTAGCAAGATGTGAGGTTTTCTGTATGACAGGACCTTTATACACATTCTAGTAAATGACTGGTAAAATGAAATACACAAAAACAATTCACCAGGCTGAATTTCACACATAAACAATGAGATACAGACCTAGAGCTTAATACCAGAAGAGAGGAAATAACTGGCTTCTGTGTTTCTCCCCAGGAATCGACAAAGAGAACGTTGAACTCTCCCCCACCACTGGCCACTGTAACAGTGGACGAACTCGCCACGGATCCGCAAGCCAAGTGCAGAAGCAAAGAAGCACTGGCAGTTTCAAACGTAATAGCATTAAGAAGATCGTGTGAAGCTTTCTTTCTTTCTTTTTTCAAACCAACTTAACATGGGCTCTTCACTAGTGAACCCTTCCCTAAGTGGCCCTGTCCCCACATGTTGCGATGCTGCATTTCATATTTTATAACAAACCCATCCAGTCTGCCACATTGCCAGATGATCAACTCTTGAAAGCATTGCCTAAATTTAATGCTGCTTTTTCTTTGACTTTTTTTCTTCTTCTACTTTTGGAGTGTGTCTGGTGTTAGCAAGTGTTCAGAACAACTATAAGAAAGTGGGAAGTCAGGTAACTTGAACTGAGCACATCCCAATTGTGAGAGAGGACAAATTCTTGAATACTGCTACTACTGGCCAGCTATGAAAGCCATTTGCACAGAGCTCTGCCTTCTTTGTTTTCCCGTTCAAAATGAAGTGTTAGTCTTATTTACACACTTTCCAAGAGAGAAGTGTGTGGGAGAAATAATATTATAACCCATGTATGTTTAATCTGACTTTTAGCTGTGGACTTTTTTTTACTTTATGAAACTGAAGGAACCATAGAGGTCAAGCCTCAGTGGCTTCATACCATTAAAGCCACAGGCAAGGTACTTTGGGGGTGGGGTGGGAGAACTTAGTATTTTGTAGTGAATTCTTAAGAATTACTAACACTGAGTATTAGCAATAATTACAGGAAAGAAAGTGTGACCATATACATCTTAATATTACTGAATTAAAGCTATGGATTCTGAGGCCTTATCCAAATTCAGTCATCAAAATGATCTTTTTTTTATCCAATTGATTATCCAATTGATCTTTAAATATGCTAAAGCTATTATTGTTTTGTTTATTTTTAATTTTTGTAAGCCAACACTATACTAAGTATAGTAATTATACATTTTTTGTCTCTTCCTCTTCTTTCCTAAATAATTCTGAACAGGGTAATCACCAAACAAAGTGTTGAAAATTGTTCCCAGAAGGTAATTTTTTTAGACGTTTGCATTAGCTCCATAGCAAAACAGAATGGTACGTGACTTTTAGAGTAGCTGATACTTTTATTTTGTTAAATAATTTTCCAAGAACCAGAATATGCTGTATAGTACATTAATTTCTTTGATAAGACATATTTTAAAAGTCTTTAAATCTTCCCCCTCTCCTCCAAAATATCAGGAATCTTTTGGGGTTCTATATGATAGACTTGCATCTAATCACTGTGAAAAGTCTGGTCAGCCTGCATTTGTATGAAAATAGGGGACCGTTGGAGTTGCTGCTGTACTGAATGGTATGGATTGTTGTGGCATAGGAATTTCCATAGTAATGCAGATCCAGTTTTTTTTTTTGTGGTACCTGCAGTGTGAAAAGTAATTTGACTTCAATGATCATATTGGTATCTGGATATTCTAATTTAGGATTAAAATATATTTATTACAAAAATTATTATCCCCCCTACTCCTAGGTTCACTTCATATGTTCAGATATAATGGCTTGGGGAGGGGTTTGCAAAGAAACCTAGGGAAGAGGGTGGTTTCCTATAGTGCTAGTTCATTAGTGGATTTCGTAAATTAAATTCCACAGCTACTTCAATAAATAATGGTACATTTAAGTATTCTGATTTTAATAATATAATACATTTCACACTATTTACACAGCAACAATGTAATATGTTAATGTAAATAAAATTGCTTTTGATATTCAGAAATAACAAGAATTTAATTTTTTTATTTTGTTTATAGTCCTGGGAAAAGTAAGAACCATTTGCCAAAATAAAAGGAAAAAACTTTAGTATTAATAGTAATTTTAACAGAATTGTTGGAAAATATTGAAGACAGGTGTAATTAACTAAGCTTTTGTTTTTAACTATTATAGAGGCTGCATTAGAATAAAATGTTTATTATAATAACAGACCATCTTAAGACTGTAAAGAAGCTGAGATTAAACTGAGTTTAGGATTAGACCAGTGACCCAGTTCCAAGGAGGCCAAGCTGCCATGATGGTTTTGGTTCTCCCACCACCCAGCGCTTTTGGGATATGGTATCACAGATTCTTGGCTTTTAGAACAGCAGGCAATGTAAGCCTTAGATAATTCTAGTTTAGTATTTTTCCCCTCTTTCTTGATCTGGTGCTTATGACAGTGTGTATTACTTTATTTTGCTTCTCCCATCAAGTTAGAGAAACTTTCAAAGGATTACTTTCCATAAACAAATTTATGAAAGTATGGTATTCCTTAAATTTATTATTTCCCTGTAATGTAGTGAATGCAATGAATCCATTTGAAGAATCTCATGAAATGATCAGCTTTGCACAAATCAAAATTGAGCCTTCTTTGAACTACAAAAATATACTTTTGACCAGTACATCCTAGGAATTTGAAAACTTCCTAAGGTTTAAAACTTAACTTATTTAAAGAACTTGTGACATTTGTGGAAAATCTAGTTTTCCAGGTAAAATGAACATGAGATAAATCTCTCACCAATTATGCTTCCCCTGAGAAATGAAACACTTTTTAGTCTTCATACCTATAATCTGCAAAAGAAATTCTGACATTCAGAGCAAGTAGCCCATTTTGCATAATTTATAAATTCTGGAATTTGTTTGTGTTTGTGGATGTTTCCCTGACTTTTTAAAAACAAAAGCATTAACTCAGCCATGTTTTATTGCATATAACCTACTATTATGCCAGTGCTCCTGTCCCAGGAGCTGCCCTCATATGCTAACATGGAGGTACAATACTCTATGCGTCAGTTACTCACACCTGTTCGTTACTGAGCTGGGCACCAGGACACCACATTAGGCGGACGAATGTCTCAGTGGTGAGGACAGAGTGTGAGCCAGCAATCCTTCTGGGTTTGTAGATTTTAGGGGTTTTCAATTTCCATTTGGGGTTTTGGGGATTTTTTTGTTTTGTTTTCTGTTTTTTGTTTCTACATTTACCCCCCACCCCGCATAATAATGCATGTCTTATTCAATGTTATGCAACAGACTTATACAAAAACTCACTTAGTGTCAGCCACACAGTTTTTTTTAATGCAGTATATTCACCTGTAAATAGTTTGTGTAAAATTTGACAGAAAAGTATATTTACTACCCTGTAAATACATGTGATGATATATTGTATTATTTTGCTTTTTTGTAAAGCAGTTAGTTGCTGTATATGGATAACAAACAAAAATTTGATTATTCTCATGTTAGTATTGTTAACTTCTTCCTGCGACTGCGTTACATCATTTAAAGAAAATGCTGTGTATTGTAAACTTACATTGTATATGATAACTTAGTCTCCTTTCTATCAGGCCTAAACTTTGGCAGTTCCCTAGTCTACACCCTTGTTAATATTGTAAGCAGTTGTATGCCAGCAGGAGAAATACTGCCCAACAGACAAAATCAATCACTGTAGGGGAAACTTGTAGAAATCAGATTCAGAGCATTATTGTTCCCCATCCCATTTCTTCCTTGTGTATGTACTCCCCCTTCCTTTTTTTTAAGTAAAATGTAAATTCAATCTGCTCTGAGATGTGAGGAGTTATTTAATTTCTTCACATGCATCAAGCTCTGTTTTATTTGGTGTAAATTCTGTTTTATCACTTCCTCCCATTTCTCTCTGATCTTTTGAAACATTAAACCTCGTCCTTTCTTTTAAGGGTGTTTTTTTGGGTCTTCTCCTCACCCCCATGGGAAAGATGTTTGTATTTCCAGAACCTCTCAAAAGTAAAATAACTTTGGTGAAATGCTTTTTTAGGGCCTGCCAAACTCAAAGATGACTCTGGAATAGGCTGATTTATCTTTAAATGAAATGCCAGGACCCTCTGACCAATCAGAGGTCATATATTAGGTCCCCACAATTCTCTCGGACATCTCAACTTTCCCCCACAGACACTACCTGTGTAAACAGTATAAGCCACCGATCCTGAGTTTTACCTATTTCATTTACCCACTCCTAGGGGAGAAAAAAATCCACCCTGAACCCTATGGGCAGGTCAGAGCTGTCCTCAGAAGGGTAGCAGTATGTCATCAATCAAAGGATTGAAAAAGATCAGAGGCCAGTGCTGGTCTTCTATGGGAAGGCTGGGATAGCCTGAGAGTGTTCTGGTCCATCCCACACTCCCCTTCCCCCTGCCACCTCGGGTCCTGAGAGAATGTGAAAAGTATGTGCATGAATGTGTCTGAAGCTTCTCAAGCAAGGTTGCTGGACACCTAGGCTTAAGGATCACTGGAATGAGAACTGGAAACTCAGATACTGCGAATAGCTATCTTTTTCCCCTATGTCCTACTAAAGCATCTTAGTTAACACTAGGGTTGTTTTGGTTTTTGATGACCCTCTAGATCACACCTCTTCATTCCTGGACAAGCTGCTCCTTAAAGATGTGGGCCAGGCCCATTTGGCAATTCTGAAATGCCCGAGGCCTGAACAGTTGGGGAGGGGCAGAAGGTGCTGAAAGCAAGAATTTTGACACATCACCAAGTGATAGCATCCCAGTGTTCCTCCTCCTACCCCTCCCTACCATCACCAAGGAAAGCCCCTAGTGGTGACCAACATCTTGTAGCAATTACCCTCATCCCTAGGTCTTCCTCAGTTTCTTTCAGTGAAATGGCTTGGCCTGCTCACTATATATGTCAGAATAGCCTCCAACACAATCTCATCCAGATTCTCTTCGCAAGCAAGGAGTGTCTCACTGAAGTGAGTTACACTGAAGACCCAATTAGCTGTGCATGGTGGCACACGCCTATAATCCCAGCAGCTTGAGAAGCTGAGGTAAGAGAACCAAAAATTGAAGGCCAGTCTGGACAACTTAACAAGTCCCTGTCTCAAAACATAAAAAGGGGCTGGTCCAGTAGCTTGGGAGGCTGAGGCAGGAAGATAGTGAGTTTGAAGCCAGCCCTAATAACTTAGTGAGAACTTGTTTCAAAATAAAATATGTAAAAAAGCGCTGGGGCTGTGGTTTAATGGTTAAGCACACAAGGGTTCAATGCCCCGTACCAAAAAAAAAAAACTTGCAATGTTGATTATATTTCTCTATTAGGACCACGCTCTAGCAATGTAGTCATTGTTGGTTTGAATCTCTCAGATTTTGTTCTTTTAGAAGTGCTCACTAATCCATAAGTGAAAACTTAATGTCACATGAAAATATAAAGTCCCTTTATACTGTATATATATGTGTACATATTAAATATGAATATGCATATTTAAAGTTCCCAAAGCAGCTTCATACATTTTTCCTAAATAGGGCCAAATTTTTATTTTCTTACCATTCTGTATATATCCAAAAAAATTTTAAAAAGATACTGTAAAATTTCTGTAGGTTTTCTACCACATATTTATGCTAGGAACCAAGCAGATCAGCATAAAGAGGATCAAGCCTCTGGGTTATAGGGTTCAGAACACCCCCAGCAAAGTGGCCGCTGATAACTGAACAGGGCCCCCCTCCCCCAGAAGTTCAGAAAGCATTGTCAAAGCAGATGCAGTGGCACCTGCTTGTTATTTCAGTGATTTGGGAGGCTGAGGGAGGAGGACTGTAAATTTGAGACCAGCCTGGGCAACTTAATGAGATCCATAGATTAAAAAAAAAAAAAAGCCAGCTTCCGCGTCACACACCTATAATTCCAGAGACTTGAAGCAGGAGGATCATAAGGGCCAACCTTAACAATTCAGTGAGACCCTGTCTCAAAAAATAAAAAGAACTGGGAGTGTAGCTCAGTAACAGAGCACCCCTGTCTCAAAAAATAAAAAGAACTGGGAGTGTAGCTCAGTAACAGAGCACCCCTGGGTCTAGTCCCTAGTACTAAAAAAACCCAAAATTGCCAAATTACGTCTGTTGACATTTTCTTCTTACAGGAAGAAAATGTCAACTGATGTAACCTCGTATTCTTTTGTTCAAAGAAACTTTTGATTGGCTATAATTGGGCCCAGCCCTGTAGTGAGAATTGCAAATACAGTAGAACAAGAAATCTTGGCCTCTGCCTTCTAAGATCTTAAGATTCAATTGTGAAAACAGCCACATAAATGACAATCGCGGTGCCCCAAAGTATGGACAGTGTTCCGAAGGGAATCCAGCAGAATTAGCAACTGAGGAGTTGGATCTTGAAAGTGTCCAGGAGGAGATATATCCAATGAGCGGTTGCAGGTAGTTTGGAAGTCTATAACATGCAGGAGGTAATCTGAGACTATGCAGAAACTCTCCCCAAAAGGCCGAGTAGAGAAGCGAGCAGGCAGAAAGCAGTATACCACAAAGAAATTGGCTTACTAAATTCTTCCTGTCCTCCATTCTTTTGTCTCACGTAGATGCAGCCTAATCTCCTACATGTAAAACATATGAAAGCATACCTTAGCCCCAGACCACAAAAATAGGGAACAGCTTTCTTTCAAAACAATTCTAAATGTTATGAATCTGGGTCAAAGTAAAATGAAAAATTGATGGGGCGGGATGCTCACTTCCCAACTCGGTCATTTGTGGATGAAAGCAAAATGGAATTAGGCAATCTACCAGAAACTGCACCAGTACTGCCCATAGAGTTCTACAAGGAGCTGGAAAAAAAAAAAAAATTACTAAAGTCCCAAGTCTTTTGGTGTTTGCAGCAGTCATTCAGCAAACTGCCTTATTTTCCTAAATTAACTCAAGCTGTGTTGAGAGCACTTCTCTTGCTCCCTTGACAGTTCCTCCTTACAGTGCTATGATCAGCAACTGTCTTCCTAACTCCCTGGTTAGACTGTAGGCTTCCAATAGAGGATAAGGCTTTGTTCAAAGGTATTCAGTAGATGGTTGCTACGTGACACTTAAGGCTTTATGTTAACAGAGAACTCTATAAACAGAAAAACAAGAACAAAGACCCATTCTTTCTAGCACCCCCAATGCAAAATCCCAAACAAGACAGAGATAGTCTGTATAATAAAAGTCAAACCTATTGAAAACTCTAATCCTGGGGTTGGAGAGCAGCTCAGTAGTAGAGCCCCTGCCTAGCATGTGTGTGGTCCTGGGATCAACCCCCTGCACTGTGAAAGGAAAAAAATAATCCAGATTTTGAGATTTCACAGATAAGTTTTTCAAAACAGTCAACTTATATATTTAGAAATAAACAATCACTATACCATACACACACACAAATCAGTGATTTTGGTTTGGGGGGCAATAGGGGATTTAGTACCCCCCCCAAAAAAAAAGGTCATTCCAACCCCAAAAGAGGAAAGAGGAAGGGATAGAAAGATAGAGAATGGCTCTTTTTTAAGTCACAATGTTGTCCTTATTTTTCTCCTATCACTTCTGACTCAGCACCATGCATCTCAGCAGACAGACACGTGATAGGCTCAGCTGGACAGGCACCCAGTAACCAGTCCACCATGGTTCTGGATGGGGAAAGTGACTCTCACGGAATACCAGTTTTTCCCACATGAATGTCCTGGTCAAACACAATTCCAGTCACGATCCCAGCAAGAAGAGTGTATCCAAGACAGAATGATCCCAGTTCACCTTGGAGAATAAACAAGAAAGTGTGGCTAAGAAACAAAAATTAAGAGAGTAATTGGAAACTTTCCCTACTAGTAAAAAAAAAAAAAAAAAAAAAATTTAAAACTGTGGTAGGGTTTAGGTCTAACTGGTAGAGCATTTGCCTCACATGTACAAAGTCTTGGATTCCATCCCCAGCACTGCCAAAAACCTGTGATATAATGGTGATTTGACTTGATAAATAGAATGGAACAGGCTAGCAGGTCCACTTTATGCTATAGTTAAAAAAAGAAAGCACAAGTAACCCCCAAATTCCTCTTGCTTCAAAGCCACAAAAGTGTTTTCTCTGTTCTGCTACACATCCATCACTGGTCAGCAGAACTGTTTAACCCAGTTTCCTAAGCCCCCAGAGTGACTGATGAGCTACCATGTGGTGCCAGAAAGAGAATCCAGGCTGCCCTGTCTGCTGCAGTGGTCACTAGCCACATGTGGCTGTTGAACACTAGAGATGTGGCTAGTGAGAATGAAAGCTAATAGTTCTCATTTTAATTTTAATAAGTGTGAATAATTACATGTGGCTAGTAGCTACCAGATTGGACAGAGCATTATCAGTAAGCAAAGACTCAGGCCAGATGTGCAGTCACTTCTGCTCACAGTCATTGCTGAATTTGTCCCACAGCTTCACCAAGTCATAGGGTCAAAAAAAAAAAAAAAAAAACCTGTCAAAAGGAAGCAGGCTGGCCAGAAATGTCGGCAAAAACATTAGGGGCTGTCACCATAAAGAAGGACTCATAGAAGCAGTGGAAGAAATCCTAAAGATCAGGCTTTGACTGCCTTACCAGGTTTTAAAATGTCCCATGTCCAAAAGAAAAATCACAAGATTAAAAGCCTAACCAATGGCCTTTGATTGGTCTTATTTTAAACAGTTCATAGAAATTTATTATAAGAAAAGGCACAGTAGAAAACACAAAAAGGGCAAATCTGAATGGCTAATCCATAGAAAGGACATACTGTACCAACTGTAATTACTATATGGTGACAAGTGTCAATGCACTCATTAGTTTAAAAAAAAAAAAAAAGCAACTGAAGGAGTGGGATCTTTTTTTTTTCTTTTCTTTTCTTTTTTTAAAGATGGGTTTTCATTATTACCCACACTGGCCTTGAACGCCTGGGCTCAAGTGATCTTCCTGCCTCATCCTCC